GCTCCCCTCCAACACAACCAGCTTACAAAAATGAAATCCACTACAGCATCCAATTGGAAAATGTCATTAAATATAATTCAGTCTATACTAGTTTCACCCTCAAACTGTGTGTGCATTAGATTAGGGGGCCTTGCAATGATTTGAGCCATCCTGCCATATCTTCTCTATCCACTTCTAGAACCAATAGGTCTTGTTTTTTTATCTGATTGTGCACCTGAAAGCAAGGTTTCAATTGGAGGGTTGGAGACATAACATCTTGAAATGAATACGTTCCCCTAGTTCAAGACATGTATTCTGTGTACATGATTGAAGCTAGGGAAAGGGCAGGAGATGGTACCTATTAATACTGAGACCCTTTCACAACCAAATAATATATAGAGATGTGTGTTAGAATCAGCATCTTCTTTCTTCTCAAGGGAGTATCTTGTCAACAAAGACAAAGGCTTAACAGAAACTGAAAAATCATGACAGATTCATCTGGGCATTGATAGCCAAAGGTCCAACATGCAAGTCTATCATCCTGAATGACCCTGTAAGTCTTGAACCAGGGAGTCAGAGCCCAGGCACCTTTCCCCTGCATAGTTCTCAGACTGGGGAATTATTGGCCCAGATCTCTGGCTGTAGGAGAGTGCGACTCAAGTAGGTGGGCAGATCTAGAACAGCTCTTTATTTCAGCCCAAGGCCACAAGACAAGAGGAACCAAAATAGAGGATCATGAGTTTCTATATAATTCTTGCCCCCAAATGTGTTCTTCAATGAGGACCAGTGCTGGATCTACACATTTTCCTGTAGAGGGCAAAAGCCTGCACTGCTGCCTCCCTATCACCACCACGGTTGAGAGAAGGAAGCATGTGCAGGTTGATTTGTCTCAGTGGTGGCCACAGTAGCAACACAAGGAAGGGCTGACCAAGGAGCAAAGGGGAGCCTACCCTGCTTCCCTTTGGGAGGGGCATTGAAAAACAAGGGACAATCTACATAAGTGCTGGTCCCAGCAGCTCTCACGAGACCCCTGCTCCAGGCTGGCGCTTACCTTGCCAGTTCACCTGCCTGCTGTGCTCCTTCTTTCCTGCTCGCTTGTGGTGGCACCTCCTCACCTTCCTCTTCCTGGGGTGGCCAAGCAGACCAGCCTTTCTATAGTCACTCACCTCTTCCTATAAGGTGTGTGTGGGCTGTAGCCAGCCACACCATGTGGTCATCAAGGCCTGGCTCCTTTACATTCCTGCTGGCCCAAAGAGAAAAGAGAGGTGCACAGCAGCCAAAGCACAGGCTTGGTGACTCCTTACGTGTTCCAGCCAGATTCATCTTATTAGAATAGGTGGGTGGCTGTTCACCCACCTCTGCTAATAAGTGGGACCTGGCTGGAATGTAGTCAGTGAGTGTGTGCTATGGCAGTGACACTTCTTTCTTTTCTCTCACCTACACAGGATGCTGTTTTGCCACCCCCTAAACCTGCCACCTAGGGACACAGGTGGAGCTGTGGGTTAAACCACAGAGCCTAGGACTTGCTGATCAGAAGGTTGGCGGTTTGAATCCCCGCCACGGAGTGAGTTCCCGTTGCTTAGTCCCTGCTCCTGCCAACCTAGCAGTTCGAAAGCACGTCAAAGTGCAAGTAGATAAATAGGTACCGCTCTGGCGGGAAGGTAAACAGCATTTCCGTGCGCTGCTCTGGTTCGCCAGAAGTGGCTTAGCCATGCTGGCCCCCTGACCCGGAAGCTGTACGCTGGCTCCCTCGGCCAATAAAGCGAGATGAGCGCCGCAACCCCAGAGTCAGTCATGACTGGACCTAATGGTCAGGCGTCCTTTTAACCTGCCACCTACTGCACATGCCCCCTTTTGCACCCACCATGATCCAGTGAAATACTTTTCAGATGGAGATACAGCAGAGGCTATCTTGCATCTGGCCTCTAGCCTTTCTTGGTCTATGTCCCTGTCTTTGGTTCTCATCTGCCCAACCTAGCTTGTTTTGACGATATCTCTGCCTCTGGTTCTTGTTTATAGGATTCAGTGCCTGATCTTCAGCCCATACATGTCCACATATTTTTGCTCTGTGGCTCATATGACTCTCGGTTGCAGCCTGTCAAGTAGACTGCCAGGCCCCAGGCCAACAGACCCTGAAGCTTAGCTTTTACCTTTCATATTCATGCAATGAATATGATACTTCTGAACATAATGTCACCTCAGATTTCCATTCAGCACACCCTGCAGGACTTTAGCTTTCATTAGTGTTAAAACTGTGAAAATATTTCAAAAATATTGGGATGCATTCAGAAGGAATTGAGAAAATCAGACATGCACACTGTGGCAAAAAATACCATGGCAAAAATAGGCATGAAAATTTAGCCTCCGAGGCAAATGGATACACACACTTTTTCTTTTCTTTTTTTTTTAAAGGAATCACTCTCCTTTCAAATCTGTCTGTGTTAGGTAAGCTTTGTTTCGCCAAATGCCCCTCACTTTAAAACATAGCTTCTTATCTTAAATATTTTGTTATTCCCAATAGCACAGAACAGATTTTGGGAGATTCAGTTCATATACAAATATATTTATTTTCTGATCCTTGGAACCAAGATAGGCTGGAGAAATTCAGGACTGAATCTCTGCAGATGTTTATTCAGACTTCTGAAAAGCCTAATGCAACATAAAATGGCCTGCAGCCTTCTAAGAAGGGTTACAAGACTTCATTTGCTCACTGTGCTTTCTGGACTTAACCATATCTGGTTAATCCTAACCATATCTACTCAGAACTAAGTCCTGCCATGGGGCTTACTCCCAAGTAACTGGGGTAAGGATTACAGCTTACACCTTGGTACATTCTTACCCAAATATTTACAATTCTCTCTCCTTTTCTATCTTTTTCCACTCAATTCTGGCTTGTTCGACACTGATAGCTCTCTAGTACAACTTCCTTCAGAGCTACAATCTATCATGCAATGAATGCTCCAGCATTTGATTTTCTGCAACACTCATGCAGAATGTTAACTTAAATAACGTCCTCCCCATAGATCGATTCTGTATTTGGCGTTGATTTTTTATTTTATTTTTTAGGCTTCTGACAAGCAAGGAAGGTAAAAGTGAGCCAAGCAAAAGAAAACAACAACAACAATCCTCCCTAAAGGAGAGTGTTTCAAAAAGTTTCTTTTTGAAAACAATAGATGAAAAAATCTTATCCAAGAAAAAGACAAAATTCCTGAAGCAATTTGTTTTAGTGAAGAAAAACATACCACATGCATACAAATATTAAATGCTTGGAGGACTGCAGATTTATGTATGTATCTGTGTGTATCTATGTATCTGTATCTATATATCTACATGCATACAAAGTCTTTTGTATTGGTAAACACATACTTTGATTCGGTGGTGAGAAGAGAACAGATGGAGTAGAGGAGGCTTATTTTTTTATGTGTCCTGCTTTCAAGTTTTCTCCTCATACCTTTCCCTGGATGTGACATTTGAGGAGCAATAAATACAGAGAACTTCTCACTTCTGTAGCTCCACTTCTTTAGATCAAAAGAAATGCCTGCTGGATCAAGCCAGTGCCCCATCTGGTCCACTCCTCTGTTACCAACCAGAGATACCCATGGAATTCCCACAAGAAGGACAACAGCACTCTCCTCACTTCCCAGCTTCATGAAGTAAGAGGAGTCCCTATATCCTCTCCACCCCTCCTGCCTGAAAGCAGACTAACAAAGTGAGATGGATTGATATAGACAGCCCCTTCCCCACACCCTTTTTTTCAAGACCATGCACCAAGAGTTACATGCTCATAGATGTTTTGGCATTCCAATCTGGTTGCAGCAGTTTCATTCATGTGTTTTTTTGTTAGTTTCCTGGAACTGTTTGCTCAGTATCAAAGACCCAATTCTATGGAACTCTCTCCTGACTGACATCAGACCACTTCCCCAGGCCTACCCCAGCAACACTTGGTAAAGACTTCTTAAAATTTCAGTAGGCATTAAGGAATGGTCTTCCACAATCTTGTATTCGGTACACCCCTTTTGCGGCCTCCTTTGAAATGACTGCCATGTGGTATAGAAATGTTTATATCAATGAAAGTTTACAATTTTAGAGTTGGCTTGGCATGTGTAGCAAATCCACCTATCAAATGAAAAATGTTTTAATGTTATTAACAGATGTAAAGAAGTAGTTTGTTAGCAGCTCATTTCCAGACTTCCACTTTGTCTCAGTCTTTCATCTTCTCAGCAGCTGCCACAAAGTCTGGCAATTAAGGGCAGGCTGCAATTGGTGGATAAACCACCACTCTCTACTGCAAGAGTGGGGAACCTGTGGCACTCTGGAAGTTGTTGGGCTCCAGTGGTTGGGCTCTGGAAGTTGTTGGGCTCCAGTGGTAATGCTGGCTAGGGCTGATGGGAGCTGGAATCCAACAACATTTTGAGGACAACAGTTTGCCCAGTGCTGCTTTGCTGACACAAAAGGACTCTTGGACCCCTGAAACGTCAATCTGTCCTTCATTCTAAGGCCAGCAGGAGAAGACTCATTAATGGACAATAGCAAGAGCTCTGTGTTCTTATTTGACCCTCTACCTAACACAACACACCAAACCAAGGGCTCACCCACACTTCCACTTGTCCTACCACTTTCCCCTGGGAAAACGTGCACCAAGCACCACTGTCTTACAGCTATCCAATTATTATTATTTTTTAATTCTCTCATCACCTCCACTACAGCTCTGCTTTGTGTAACAAGCTTTTCTTTTTGTGACATGTTGGTTGGTCCTAAGAAAGGCATAGCCCAACCATAAACAAAAGAGTAATTGTATAAGTCAGAAGTTGCTGGCAATTGCTGTAATGATAGCTCACAGCTATCCAGCTCTTCCTCCACAAAAAAAAAGATATGGAACAGAAGACTACACAGGAAAATGACTTCATCTGTTCCATATGATGTAGGGATAGCAAGCAATTTAAGTGGGTGATTACCATATGATTAAAAAGTTATTAAGAGTATTCCTTTTAATAAAAACTGGTTTTTTTATTAAAAAATACCTTGAGTGGGTTCATCAACAGCTTTTCTTTTTCTGCTGTGGCTGTTGTAATTCATTCTGAGTTCTTGGCCATATTCGTTAAGCGTTTCTCTGGACTCATAAGACTGTCTTGCCTTTCTTCCATCCTCACTTTCATCAGATGAGCTTGTGTAAGCTAGATCCATTTCATGCTTAGCTTTCGACAGTGGCTGGTAGGGTTTACAATCCATTTGCTCCATCTCTGATTAAGTAGGCCAAAATCGTGAAAACAATGTATTGAGACTCCTTACTGAAACAGTCCTGGAAGAGACAAAAATGTTCAATGTAACTCTCTTCATTCAAGCATGGTAGTTGTTCAACCTCCCCCCCCCCCAAAGCAATTGATTTGTCTAGTAGATTTAGTTAAGGGAAACTTAAAATGTTCTCAAAGCGAGCATAAACATTCTCCTAATGATCCCTTGTTTTGAAAGGTTTTAGCCAGTTAATTGTTGCAAGGAATTAAACAACAAGTTGTAAGAAATTGTAGGCAGAATAAACCTTGAGATGGAACCACTGAATTATACTGAGTGGGTTGATACAAGCATTTTATCTCACTATTTTTTAAAATATAGATAAACTTATTTTTTAAAAAATATATATAATAATTACAGTAGTGGAATATAAAACTAAGTTTCACATAGTACATAGGATATTCAGGAAAAGTGTTCATCAAGAAAACTAGCTTCCTCTCATCACTGCAGGTAGTGAATTTTGTACACCAATTCCAAAACTATAAGAAATCAAGTCCCCATATAGCAAAACACACACATTCTGGGTCTTCTGACCTACTTGAGACATTTAAATTGTGGGTAATATTCTCTGATATTGCTAGTGCACACATATTTTTGTACCAAAGTGTTAATTGTAGTTGCAAGTTAATTGCAATGTTTTCCACCCATGCTATAATGTTATTAGGCCTTTCAAGTCTGAATTACACCCATAGCCATCCCAGATATTTGACAAAGAAAGTTTGAGGTGAGGTCATTACAATATCACTTTTACATCTATCAGAGTTCTCCCTATAAATGTCAGTCCAACATTTAGAAAACAGTGGGTCATTACTACCATAGATGAAAACAAACAAACAAACAAAAACTCTGCCCACACAGTAAGAGTCTAGAAGTTATTCTAGAAATTTGTACCAGTATATGGTGCCATCTATGAATATGTGGATACTGATTTATATGGTGTAGGTAGCCATAAATTATTCCACTTACTTTCAGGAAGGAAAAGGGTGGTCCTGCCCACCACCAAAATGTGGCACCCAACAGATCAACCCCGCCCCTCAAAAGAATGCAGCCCTTGAAAGAAAAAAATAGCTTCAAATATTTACAGAGTTTATCAGCTCCAGCCAAACATTCTTCAGAGGTAAGGTTCCATTGTAAATTGACCTAATAAGTTCTTCTACCGTCGAAACTGTGCCTCAGGAGAAATCCATAGTATAGGAACCAGCAGCTCCTTACAAATAGGAGTTATTAGCATGTCTGAAGATATATTGATGAAGCAATTGAATTCTAATCTTGAACCTTGTGGGAAGTCAAAGCGAAATGCACCAGTTGCTTCTTTATTTGTGATGTACCATTTAATTCCTACATGACACACATGGAAAATCAAATGCACGTGTTTCTTTTCTCAGAGGGGAGGAGTGGACCAGAACTGAACACATTCTCACTTCCAGTGCATTTATGAACAGGGAACTCTGCGACATAAACTTCTGTACAGTGACAAACGGCTGTACTTCTGTTGGTTCCAGATTACTTTTCTTCTAGAAAACACACATAGAAAAACTATTGAGCTGCACACCCACCCACTCCTCAAACTTCTGAAATGAAACATAAAATATGTTGCACCTTAGAGCAGGGGTCCCAAACTGTTTTGGGCCCAAGGTCACATTTGGAAACCACCATGAGGACTACGAAGTAACCATTTCACAGAAGAAAAACTGACAATACTCAGGCAATACACCTTCACAAGCACCTTTATGTTCCTAATTTGGGAGCCTATCCATACAGGAATGGAGGAAGTAAAATACAATATGTGGTTGAAGTAGGTCACCTACTTTAAAATAAGAGATACAACTTTCTGAACTAAACCCACAATATTTCAATTTCTACTAACTGAAAAGACAACCCTTAAAGCTCTCCTGCTCTTTTCTAAAGAATAATGTATTCCTGTCGTGAGGTACATTAATGAATGCACAATAAGGGGAGGAGATCTATAGCTAAAAAGACATGCTAGGAATCCTTTGACTACACCACTTATACAAAAGAAAAAATCTAACACTTGGGGATGTAATATAGATCTAACATAGTGTCCAAGGAGGCTGTTTGGGTTCACAAAGCAATGAATGGATAACAGACCCATATCTGCAGAAGTTTCCTCTTGAAAGAAGGTGAGACTTCTTTATTTTAAAATAAATTTTTCTATTTTAATGTAAAACAATCATCTAAAATTAAGCAAGATCATGTTTAATTTTAGCTGCTGGGTCATTTAAAATATTGTTCATTCTCCCCTGCCCCTCCAAAACAAAGTCTCTAGAAAGCAAAATGAACAGAATGAAAATGATTCACACGAAATAAATTAGTCTGATGAAGTGCTACCCTTTTTGATCCATATGGTAGCATATGGCAAGGCAGGCAGAAAAAAAGATGTGTTACAGTATTTACATTTCAGTTGTGGAACTCTGTATTGACTGTGGTGTGGCTTTCACTTTTCTATAATTAATTTCATCCTCATAAATGATATTCAACCAACAATGCATTGCATTTGCACCTTTAGATGCAAATTTAATCATGTCCCCCACCCCATTTCTATTCACAACATACAGAATGCAGTTAAAATCATCACCATCATCAACAACAACAAAATAGTTAAAACAGCATCTAGTATTAGTATTAGGAGAGTCATATAACATTAGTAACCACAACAGCCACAACCAAAGACCAAAACAAAATCTCAATAGAAACAGTCAGGAAATTCCAGGCGAAACAGAAAGGTATTTTAAAGCTGCAATCCTAATCCCATTTACACAAGAGTAAGACCCATTGAATTCAATAGGATTAACATCTCAGTAGACATGGGTAGGATTACAATGTAGCTGCCTGCGAAAGCCCTTCTATAATTGGTGCTTGCCTCATTGCCATAGGGCTCCATTGAGAAGAAGGGCAGGATATAAACTGAATAAATAAATAAAATAACAAGATGGGCACCATAATGGAGCCAGCCAGACTTCAAGTAGATAGTAGAAGAGTCCAGAGGGTCCCTTCTGTAGACCTGGGCAGACCATACAGGAAAATGCAACCTTGAGCACAGGAAAACAACAAACTGAGCTACTTCCAGCTCCACCTTGAGGATGAAGGAAGGGAAGGGGGAAAAGAATCGCTGAACTTCTCTGGCCATGATTTTCCAATCCATGAAATGAGAATAATAATAATAATAATGCTTGCCTATCTCACAGAGGAACCAATGGTTTTAAATCACTCACCTTTCCCAATGAACGTCAGGGCTCTACAAAAGGCAAGATACATCTTGCACTAAGCATGTATTAGTATCTCTCTAGAAACCTTACGAAAAACTGAGGATAAATTGCTGTAAGTGTATGTATGAACATTAACCTGAAATCTTAATTTTATGGAACAATGGCTCTGAATAACAGAAAGGATAGAAGCCTGCCAAAAGCAAGATTATAAACTTGCATCTCCAAATGTGCCATGAGCCATTCAGGACTGAAGATGGTGGATTTTAATTAATCACTTCTTAGAGGTGCAGTGCTGTGATTCAGTAGTCGGGAATTAAGACAGCTACAGTCCCTTGGTTTTGCTGCTGGGTGTGACTGGGTATAGCTGAGATGGAAACACAATTTCCAAAAGGCAGGGAGAGCTATAACCCCCACTCCTCATACCTACAAGAATAACAGAGGGAGTCTGCAAGTTTTCAGGAGGAATTCTGGTGCGCCCGCTCTTAAAGAAAACATCATTAGATCCCTTAGATCTATCCAATTACCACCCGCTTTCGAATCTTCCATTCCTGGGTAAGGTGATTGAGAGAGCGGTTGCTGAACAGCTTGGTAGGTTTCTGGATGAAACATCGGCTCTGGATCCATTCCAGTCCGGCTTCCGCGCTGGTCATGGGACCGAGACGGCTCTGGTCACCCTAACAGATGATCTCCGCAGGCAGCTGGATCGAGGCGGGTCGGGGCTGCTGATTCTTCTAGACCTGTCAGCAGCCTTCGACATGGTCGATCACGAACTCCTGGACCACCGCCTTGCCGACGTGGGGATCCAGGGCACAGTCCTTCAATGGCTGCGTTCGTTTCTCTCTGGTTGGGGACAGAGGGTGGCGCTTGGGGGGGAATTGTCATCGCGCCACTCCTTGGTGTGTGGAGTGCCTCAGGGTGCGATTCTCTCCCCGATGCTTTTCAACATCTTTATGCGCCCCCTCGCCCAGCTTGTCCGGAGTTTTGGGCTGGGTTGCCATCAGTATGCCGATGACACCCAACTCTATCTGTTGATGGATGGCCATCCTGACTCGGGCCCAGACACACTGACCAGATGTTTGGAAGCTGTGGCTGGATGGTTACGTGGAAGCCAGTTGAAGTTAAATCCTTCGGAGACAGAGGTCCTCTGGCTGGGACGGGACGATATGGGATTGGGGGGGCAACTCCCATCTCTTGCGGTGGTGCAATTAGTGCCAGCACCGTCCGTTAAGAGTTTGGGTGTAATCTTCGATACCTCCCTCTCTATGGAGGCGCAGATTACAACTATAACAAAGGCGGCATTTTTTCATCTCCGCCAAGCTAAGCAGTTGGCCCCTTATCTCTCTCGCCCTGACCTAGCCACTGTGATCCACGCGACGGTCACCTCCAGACTGGATTATTGTAACTCGCTCTACGTGGGGCTGCCCTTGAGACTGACCCAGAAACTCCAGCGGGTGCAGAATGCCGCGGCGAGACTCCTTATGGGGTCTTCGCTGCAAGATCACATTCATCCGGTACTATACCAGCTGCACTGGCTCCCGGTGGAGTACAGGATCAGGTTTAAGGTGCTGGTTTTAACCTTTAAAGCCCTATACGGCCTAGGACCCTCGTACCTACGGGACCGCCTCTCCTGGTATGCCCCACAGAGGAACCTACGGTCTGCAAATAAAAACATCCTGAAGGTCCCAGGCCTCAGAGAGGTTAGGCTGGCCTCAACTAGAGCCAGGGCTTTCTCGGCTGCGGCTCCAATCTGGTGGAACGCTCTGTCACAAGAGACTAGGGCCCTGCAGGACCTGACATCTTTCCGCAAGGCCTGCAAGACAGAGTTATTCCACCAGGCCTTTGGTCAGGGCCCAGCCTGACTCCCTCCTCAGGCAACCTGCACAGAACTTTGCTTAACGGTTGCCATTAATTTGATTTTAATTAATTTTTATAATGAAATGTTTTAGAATGTTGGATTATTTGATTGTTTGATTATTTGATTGTTGTTAGCCGCCCTGAGCCCGGCTTTGGCTGGGAAGGGCGGGATATAAATAAAAATTATTATTATTATTATTATTATTATTATTATTATTATTCCAGTGGCCAGTCAGGGCAAAATAATTGACAGAAAAAGTAAAGATGCTTCAACCCCCTACCCCTCTCTCCCTTTAACAGTCACTAATAGTCTACATGCTTCAAGGAGGAATAGGGGGTGGGTGGCCTATCAGATATATTTTTTGGACTTCAGCTCCCATCAGCTCTAATCTTTGGCTATGCTGCCTGGGGCTGGTGGGAGTTAAATGGAGTCTAGAAGACCACAAATTCTCCATCCCAGTTAAAAAGGATGAACCGCAGCTCAGTGACTGAGCACATGCTTTCCATGCAGAGGGTGCAAGGTTCAGTCCCCAGAATCTCCAGAGAGCACTGGGAAAGTCTGGAAACCTAGCAAGCTGCTTTTAGTTGGAGTGGACTACACTGAGAAGAATAGACCAACAGTATAACTCTGTATAAATTAGCTTCCTGTGTGTCTGAATTCTCAACGTAAAAAGCTGTGGCAATACCTGAAGGTCTGCCAACATAACCCCCCACCCCACCCCAGAACCATAAGACTCTAAAAACTACAAAGGAATAGAGAGGAGTAATGAATCAGGGGCAGCGATATTGCAAGGCTTACTGCATGCATCACGCTCCGCATTTCCCACATTTCCCAAGTTAAATAGGCAGAAACAGCTTAACCTGATTAAATTCTCATGCCCTGGACAACTGCAGAGTTTCACCATTGCTCGGCAAGCTTAATCCATAAACGCACAAAATGACATAAAACATTTCTATTAATATTCCTTTGCAAGACACTAAACTTATAATTTTGCAGGAAAGGAGCATATCTATGAAAGGAATTAGCAAGGACCTCCAAGCAGCTTTTCAAGGGTTAGTTAAAATATTAAGATTTCCCCCCTCACAATAAACCTCCCCACCCTTCAATGCCTGCAGCGGGTGTGTATGAATGTTTGACAGGCAGTATAATTAAACATCTGCAGCAAGAAAAAGAACATTTCAACATTCTTTTTTCTCCAAGATTATGCTCAATTCAGTGTGTTAAAAGAATCGACGTCGCAAATGAATGACTTTCTGCCTGACCTTCATGTATTACTTTCCCTTTTTAGGGAGTGCATTAGGTAACACAAGTGGGAGCCATTGGTGGCTGGTGCTTGTTGGGACTGGTAAGGTGGGAGGTAGGGAGACCAACAGTAGATGGGACCAGAATGAGTGAGAGGCAAAAACAACTCTATCTTCTTCCCTGCTGAGCAACACCATGACTAAGAAGGAGGAAGCTGACAGAGATTGCCATCCCCTGTAAAGAGGTGGGCAAGTGGGGGCTAAGGAAAGACAGGAGGACAACCAATATGATCACGGGTCTGGAAACCAAGCCTTATGAGGAACAGATGAACGAGCTGGGTATTTTTAGCCTGGAGAAAAGGAGACTGGGAGGAGATATGATAGCCATTTTCAAATATCCATGGAAGATGGAGGAAGCTTGTTTTCTTCTGCCTAGGAGGATAATACCCAAACCAACGGCTTCAAGTTACAAGAAAGGAGATTTTGACTAAACACCAATAATAACTTTTTGATGGTAGGAGTTGTTGATGGTAACACCCTCAGAAGGTGGTGGACTCTCCTTCCTTGGAGGTTTTTAAGCAGAGGTTGGATGGCCATCTGTCATAGATGCTTTAGCTGAGATTCCTGCATTGTAGGGTTTTGTTTGTTTTTCTGAGCCTGCTGATACTTCCAAGTGCTTGGATGTTGTTATTTTGACTACTACTTATGAATCCACACTTAATAAGCTCACAATTTTTATATAGGAAGAATAGATTCATCAGCATCTTTAACTTATGTCAGTCTACCTGTTGTATTTATGTACATCCTGCCTAGTTCTTGCCTGGTGCCCAGTGCTGAGTCATCAGAGGATGAACCAGACACTCCATAGGTCAAGGACCTGCTGAAGAACCCTTGGTGCTGTCAGAGGAGGTAAAGGACCCCTGGATGTATGAATGTTTGACAGGCAGTATAATTAAACATGGTCCAGTGAAATTTGACTAGGGGCTGCGGCGCTCATCTCTGCTTTCAGGCTGAAGGAGCCTGAAAGCTTTCCGGGTCATGTGGCCAGCATGACTAAAATACTCTGGCGCACAGAACACTAACGAGTGCTAGAGTGCACGGAAACACTGTTTACCTTCCCGCTGCAGTGGTACCTGAAGGGTTGCAGGTGGCGCTGTGGTCTAAACCACTGAGCCTCTTGGGCTTGCTGATAAGAAGGTCAGCGGTTTGAATCCCCATGATGGAGTGAGCTCCCGTTGTTCTGTCCCAGCTCCTGCCAATGTAGCAGTTTGAAAGCACACCAGTGCAAGTAGATAAATAGGTACTGCTGCAACGGGAAGGTAAACGGCGTTTCCATGCGCTCTGGTTTCTGTCATGGTGTTCTGTCATGGTGTTTCCAGAAGCGGTTTAGTCATGCTGGCCACATGACCCAGAAGGCTGTCTGTGGACAAACGCCGGCTCCCTTGGCCTGAAAACGAGATGAGCGCTGCAACCCCATAGTTGCCTTTGACTGTACTTAACTGTCCAGGAGTCCTTTACCTTTTTACCTTGTCAGAGGAGGAGCCACCTCAGTCCTTGAGAATCCCCACACCAAAAAGGCCAAGGTGAAAAAAAGCAAAAACATAACATGTGTATGAACCCAGAGCTGGTGTGTGGCTCATGAGTAAGCAGTATCTGGAACTCAGTTACCACCAGCAGCTGGGGTTAGGGTATGTTCTAGGACACTAAGGTGAACAAGGTCTCCCACGAGAGCCTTATAGTTGCTGGAAACAACACAGGTCTCTGGCTCCTTCATCCCAATTGCTGTGCTGTACCTTGTCTGAACACTCTGTGCTATTGACCTTGCTTCTGCATTGTTTTTTGGACCTAGAATGATTCTCCATGCTTGACATTTGTTGAGGCTATGCTATGCCTTGAACCCTGCTTGTTGGGGGAAGCATTTAGCTAAAAAGTTTTTACTTCCTGGGACTGAGACCTAGTTTTATAACTGTAATTGTTTTATATGTTTTTAAAATTGTATATTGTATTACTGAGGAGCACAACAGTTTACAAGTTGTTGTTTTTTACCGACTCTTCACCATAACGATGATGCAATATACAATTATAAAAACAAATAAAGTTGTTACAATTATAAAGCAAGAATGAAATTATAAAGGAGGCTAAGGGGTGTGTGTGTGTGTGTGTGACATGCGGGGGGGTGGGGGGGTCCCAAGGGTAAGAGAAAGAGAGTTTGACAGCTGCATTTGGTCCCTGGACTAGAGAAGTTCAGGGGGGAGAACCGAGGGGCACCACTACCTCACAGCATATTCTGGCTGAGGCCATCACCCCACTCTGCCTAATGGTAGAACTGGCCCTGAAAATTGCTTTAAAACAAGTTATTTGATTAGAGCCATGTGTAGTCCAGTACAGATAATGTATTCTGTATAGGAAAGTTTCTTCTTCGTTAACACCATCCTAGACTAAATATTAGTAAAAGCATTTTGCCTCATCAGTTCTGCTTCAGTGCAAACATACGATTAACAGAACGAACAAACAGTGTGGATGCTTTGCCATCAAACCCTGACAAATGACAGGCAAGCATAGTCATGGGGGTACCATAAACTGCTGACGCTGTTACACCAGAGTTTATATTACAGTGGTGGAACCACATTACAACTAGGAGTAGAAAATTAAATTCCATCAAGCATAGCTAAATGTTGTTTGCACTTAAGAATATGTGAGTAAAACCAATCCAAACCAACACATGAATTTGGTGCAAAGGTTTTCTAATATGTAGGATAATCCTGTGCAACCTCAGGCGATCTTCCAACAAAGCATTTCGGATGCCTATGTGTTTCCTCTCTGACTGCCTTATAATACAAAGAAGATGCTTACCTATTGGCCACCTGACATCATCACCATCCAGCAATGGAAAAATTACATCTGTAACCACAAGGGAAGCCAGCTTTTTCTGTAAAACAAGGAAAGACCTAGAATTTCTTTTGGGGGGAGGCAATTTAAATTGATTTAGCTAGGGCTCCTAAAGAAAATATATCTGGAGGGAAGGTTTTCTCTTGCAAAAGCCAACTCTATTCACAGAAAACACGTCAAGGCACTTTGGTTACACGAATAGCACCTGGGACAACTCTACAGCACAGAGCTTTATAGGACAATGGGTCTAACCACTGAAATGAGTCTGCCCATTGTGGAGACAGTGTTTGGCTTGAAAGCTTAAGAATGGTGGACATTCCTTCAGCATGGTAAGGGAGTAAAGCCCTCTTCAGGCATTCCATAATGGGAAAGGAGAGGGCAGCAAAGATGGATATGCTGGCTCTGGCTCTGCTCCTTCACTTTCAAACTCATGGAAAGCAAAAGTCTGCAGCGATGAGCCTTTTTTTAATGCATGGAGTCTCCACACAAGCTTTTAAATTCTGCACAGGGACACAGGAAACCGCATTATCCTCAGTCATATACTACTAGTCTATCCAGCTCAGTACTGAACCAGATCTGGACCTGGTGTCCCTTCAGACAGAGGACTATCCTCTGTAATTTAATCCTTTGAGACTACTTTCTTTTGTATTAAGAAGCTAACAAGCTAACAAACAAACAAATAGTGAAAAAGTTGTATAATAATAATAATAATAATAATAATAATAATAATAATAATAATAGTAATATCATCTGAAGCTCCAACTGTTCCCTTACAAACCCATGCAAATATAAGTTCCTCTGAGCATCTGCTTTACATGCTAATATCATCTGAAACAGGATGTGTGGCAACCCACAGCAGGGACTTTTCCATGGTGGTACCAAACCTATGGATTTCCCTCCCTAGGGAAGTTTGTCTGTCTCCCTCCTTATTGACTTTTAAATGCCAGACCAAAGAGGCCCTCTTGCGTAAGGCTTTCAGGTTTTCCTAATTACCCATTTCCTTCTTGTTTCTAGATTCAGGTAGGTAGCCGTGTTGGTCTGATGCAGTCGAAATAAATAAAAAAATTGTCCAGTAGCATGTTAGAGACCAACAAAGCTTGTTCTGGGTATAAGCTTTCATGTATCTGAAGAAGTGTGCATGCGCACGAAAGCTTATACCCAGAACAAACTTAGTTGGTCTCGAAGGTGCTACTGGACATTTTTTTTATTTATTTTATTTATTCCTTCTTGTTTCTGTTACTCTAAATCATGTTGCTAATTACTAATTCATTTACTGATTTTTTTGAAAATGTTATTTTTATAGTATAGTAATTTTTGTATGTGTTTATTAGTGTACAGTGGTACCTCAGGTTACAGATGCTTCAGGTTACAGATGCTTCAGGTTACAGACTCCACTAACCCAGAAATGGTACCTCGGGTTACAAACGTTGCTTCAGGATGAGAACAGAAATTGTGCAGCGGCAGTGCAGTGGCAGCGGGAGGTCCCATTAGCTAAAGTGGTGCTTCAGGTTAAGAACAGTTTCAGGTTAAGAACGGACCTCCGAAACGAATGAAGTTCTTAACCTGAGGTACCGCTGTATTTGTGAGACTTTCAAATCAAGGGCAGCTTAGAGATATTTTATCAAAACGTGGAAATCAGTAGCATCTGCCAATGCCATAGAAGTAGGTGCAGTTGAGGATTGATGTGCAAACCTATGTTTTTCTGCACTGCATTTCATTTATGAAGGACAGCTATGCATCTTCAGAGACTGCATAGTACAATGAGAAAGGGTTTCAAACGCACATCTCTCCTTTTAGTTAGTCATCAGACTGCATTCATCTTCCCTTTGGACTTTTCCTGCCAGCGATTCAAAGGGAAATACCAACTGTGCATTCTGATCCGATAGGAAAAAAAAACAGCAACAGAAAGACAGAAACTGAAAATGATCCAGCATAAAATGATATCAAGTAGTAGCGTCAAATATTGTTCCTGGCTATGCTAGATATCACCCATCAGAAAACACATGCATAGGATTTGCCAGGCTGCATGATACCTTCTCATGGAGAACTGATTAATCTTTTGACAGGTTCGCCCATGTAACTCGAGGGAGTAGGTTTCTGTAACACAGCTGAACAGTGGTGAAAAGGGACCGAAGAAACTATGGGAGCATTCAGACACAGGGGAAATTGTGTTAGTTTTCCTGGTTATAATCCTAACACTTCTGTCCCATTTTCTAACATTCTCTTTATACAGCAGTATCTGTTGTGCTGTGGAACTGAGGCTTTTTGATTGACAGAATGGCTATGTTATACTAAATTTTATTCATGCCTGTGGCCATGGTTGGAACAATAGTGAACATCACTGGACAACAACACCATTCCTCTATCCTTCTTGCACATGTGTGCTCCTGGTCCTCCATGATTCACCCATGAAAATGGCAAGAAATAACTGTATGCTGGGATACGGCCCCAAATTTCATCACTTTATTCCTATGGTTTTCTGGGTTAATAGGCTTTCAAAGAGATTATTTCTGGAGCCAATTAACATGGAAATTAGAACTGAATGTCCACTATATTCCACTTCATATGTTATATGAAAGTCTCGGATACAATATGGAAATTAACAGCCAGAGA